AATGCCTCTGGGGGCCCCCTGGCCACCGGCCTGCAGTGCCCGGCTCGGCGCTGCCGCAGGGGCCCCGACCGCCTCCGCCTTCCGGGCTCTGCCCCCGCCCCGGGGCGCTGCTCGGGGCCTGAGGCCCCGGCACTGCGGGGCGCGGACCTGAACCGGAATCGGCCGCTCGGTGTCGGGGCCCGCGGGGGAGGGGGCGCGGGCCAGCCCGGCGTTAGCTCCGCGGCGACGGCAGAAAATGGCAGCCTGGCACGACCCGGTCCCCCGCCCCTCCCCCGAGGCTTCTCGAGCCCGCGGGGCGGGGGTGACCCCAGAGGCCCCCGGGGGCGGGCCGGGGGGTGATCCGGGGCCGGGTCTGGGGAGCGCGGCGTTGCGATCCTCCTTCGGCCACCTGTGGCTTGGGGGTGCGGGGCGCCTGCGGATCGGGGAGGGGCGGCGGGGGGGGGGAGAGTACCCGCTTGGGGTGCACACCTTCCCGCTGAGGCCCGGGGTGGGGGGGCGTCGTGGCTGGCTCCTCCCTGCCCCCGCTGCGGGCCGTGGGAGCGGGGCGGCGGTGGCGGCGGCGACGCCGCAGTGTGGGGGCGGGGCGGGAGTGGGCGAGGATCCCCGGCCCGGGCCGCTGGGGGCCGGAAAGCTCGAGGGTGGGAGCGGCACTGCTGGAAACGACTTGGGTGGGGATGCCCGGGTCGCCCCCTGCAGCAGACTCTCCCCTGCACACACTCACACGCACCCCCGCCGGCCGGTGCAGACGTGTCCTTGAAAGCTTCGCATCTGCATGGTGAAGGACGAGGCCTCGCTGAGGCTGCGGATCTGGGGTCTCGGTCCCCACATTCCCCACACCTCGGGAGACCCCGAGCTTCGGAGCCACAGGCGGCCGCGGTCTGTGTCCCGCCCTCACCCGGGCTCCCCTCCCCAGGCCACCCTGCCCTTCCTCCCCGTTGGCGCGGACGGACCTGGCGTGGGTCCAGGGCCCGCCCCCCGCCTCCCCCAGCCCCTCTTCGCTGGGGCCCGCAGCCCTCCGGCTGCCAAACTGCATTTTGCTTTGCTGGAGCCTGCTTCTTGGGGGCGCCCTCTCCGTTCCCTTCCCCCTCTGCTGTTTTCCTCTTTCTCTGCCTCCCCTGCGTCCTTCCTCCTGGTTACGAGACCAGCTGAGTAGCTGTGGGCACCCTGGGAGGGACTAGGTTCCCACTGGGTCTCAGGGGCCCCCTTCCCTGCTCCCAAGAGGAGCCCTCTGTGGCTGCACCTTGACCCAAGATGGCGTCTTGCACCCAGCTGGGCAGTTCTGGCCTCCTTAGGGCGGAGGGAGGAAGGGCTGGGGACCTCAGCGATACAACTCGCCCCCTCTCAAGCCAGAGGGGGACAGGAGCCTTAGTGGAGGAGCACCCTGTGCTCCGTGACCCAGCTTGCCCCTCAGTGCACCGCTGTGCCCAGAGACTGCTGTCAGCATCCCCGGGGACAGTTTGGTCTTCATGTTTCACCCTGGGCTGCCAGCGGCTGAACCTCCCCCTGGGCAGGCAGGCGGGCAGGCTGCACAGAGGTTCTGGGATCAGGTGCTACTCTTCTGTGCCTCCTCCCTTCCAGGCAGATGTGACAGCTGCAGCCTGGGGATTGTGCTGCTTGAGGTGCTGGGACTGGCCTGTGGGATTTGAGAAACACAGCTGCCAGACAGACCCTCTGCTGGCAAGGGCCATTTGCAAGTAGTTTGAGGCCACTTGCCTTTGGATAGTTGAGTTGTGGGAGTTCCTGTGGGTTTCTGGAGCAAGATGGCTATAGTCCCCTTTGCCTTCTGGGGTCCCTTAAAGCTCTGGTGGAGCTGTTGACAGGTAACTTTGTCAAAGAGAGAGAGAGAGAGAGAGAGAGAGAGAGAGAGAGAGAGAGAGTGTTCAAGCGCTTTCAAGCCTGCACTTGCACTGCCAGTTAGGGACCCCAGACCAATTGTGTCATTGGTCTGGCACCTGCCTACCTCCCCTCCTGGGGCCCCCTTTTCTAGGCCTTGGTGCCTCTTCATGACACCCACTTCAGCCTCTTCTGCTCCTCAGTGCTTTATCTTCATCCCCTACCCTATCACATCCTCAGCTCCTGATTCCTATGTTGATGCTGATGGAAGCTTTCCAGCCCAAGGAGCCTGGCCCTCGGAGAGGTTGAATCCCCAGCATCCATAGTGTAAAGGCAACCTTGCCCACTGGAAGAGCCTAGGAGGGGCCAGTGGCCATCTGTCAGGATGTCTGCCTGCAGGATTCCTCTCTAGGGTGGGGGTTGGAAGCATCTCGGGGACCCATTCCAACTTTGAAATTCTATGGCTCTGAATCTTCTGATGGAGTTTCAGACTTAGAATGGGGTCAGGGTGGTCTACCTCCCCCCATGGTGGTAGTGATGGACAAGGTGTCTTAGAAGAGTAGGTGGGAGAAAGTAGGGGCCTTCCAGGAGGTAGACTTCTGAAGACAGTGGTGATGTGATGGTGGGGGCCCTGAAGGTCTCTTGGGTCTGACTGCAGGGGATGCAAAATACAGCTTCCATGCAGCCTTCACATTGCAGTTGTGTGTGGAAATCTGTGTGGGTGATTTGCAAGGGTCTCCCAGGTCCTTAGGGATATTTCATTATCATTTTCATGCCCCTATCTGCTATTCATCTTCTCAAAAAGCCAGCCAGTAATAGGATGAGCCATGGGATTCTTGTCAAAGCCAGGGTCTTTGGATGGGAGGAAATGGAGCCCACCTTGCTCCTAGGGAACCATACTTGCCTTGGTGACCCCTGGGTGCCCTGTTGGACATTTAGTGGGGCCTCCATGGATGTCTGCTGCATGTCTGGGAAGCTCCAGCTCCTTACCCTCTCCCTGAGGCAGGCTATGGCTGTCCCTCCTGCCTATTGTTGGTATTTCCAGTGGTTACTTGCTTATAGGTCACTGCTTAGTGGTCATTACCTGCTTACAGGCCACTTTGAGAGCTCCTGAGGGACCTAAGTTCTTTCCCAGAGTCCCTCAAGACTCAAGTATTGGGGAGCCAGATAGAAAGGGGAGTCTCAGCAGAGCCTTGCTGTCTCTGATGGGTAGGCTCAAAACAGACCACCTCCTAGACATTACTGTTAAGCTCCAATCCTTAGAATTGTGAGTGGAGCCAAGCGTGGTAGCGCAGGCCTTTAATCCCAGCATTTGGGAGGCAGAGACAGGTGGATCTCTGTGAGTTCAAGGCCAGCCTGGTCTACATAGTGAATTCCAGGACAGCTGGGGCTACAGGGAGACCCTATCTCAAAAATACTTAAAAAAAAAAAAAAAGAATTCTGGGTGGGAAGAATCCTGCTGTCCACAGCTTGCTGGCCTGGGGTCTCACCTCCATCACCCATGCCCCACTGATAGTTGGGTGTATGTTTGGCTTCTAGCAGTTGGAGCCAAGGTGCAGCCCTTGGGAATCATTTCCACCTCCATTTTAGTATCTGGTGGGTACTGGGAGTCATCAACCTGTTTCTGCAGGGTCTCCCTTGAGGCTGGGTTTCTGCAGGGTCTTTGCTGCTATCAGAGCTTGAATGGTAAATTAAAGGTGCTATTTTCCCCCATTTGAGATAGTGTCTCGCTATGTAGCCAAGACTGGTCTTGAACTTGTGATTTCCTGCCTTAGCCACCAAAGTGCTGGAATTATAAAGGGGCTGCTGTGTAAAATTTCAGTCATTTGTCTTTTAAGTTATTTATTTTTCAGACCAGGTCTCACTATGTTGCTCAGGCTAGTCTCAACTCATGGGTTCAAGTTGTTATCCTGCCTCAGCTTTCCTTGTAGCTTGGGTGACATGCATATGCCAGCATATCTGGTTTCACTTGCCTTGTTGACTATAGTTTTTTTCCCTAAAAGCGAGGCAATTCAAATTCCATGAATACAAGTCTTACCCTGAGACTTGTATTTGTGTCAGAGCTGCTTCCATTTGGCTAAGTGTGTCTGCATATTTGTGCATACATACATTTGTGCAAGTATGTAGACAGCTTGCTTTAATGTGAGCCAGCTTCAATGCAGTATAAGCTAGGGCCCTGGAGTTGGAACTACTTCTTGACTCAGCCTAGCTGCAGGACTCTTGAGAATCCCCTGCAACCCACATGTATGTGTGGACTCCCAGGATGTGTGGAAGAGATGAGGTCACCATCTTAGCCAGGGGTCAGCTCTTGGTTGCAATTCACTGTGCTTGCTTTCTGCATTCAGGCTGCTTGTGGGGGACCTCTGAGAAGTCCTGCCCACTTTCCTGCCTCCTTTGCAAAATCTTGGTCGGATGGGGAAAGTGCTGATTCTACTTG